TAATTGAAAAAGACTGACTTCTTGGAAGAGAGAGACTTCTGACACAGACTGTCTCTGGACTTGAAGCACACCATCAACTCTTCCATGGGACTCTAGCCAGCTGGCCTGCCCTGTGGGTCTCTCTCTCTCTCTCTCTCAGTTTTGTTTCTGCTGGTTTTGTTTCTCTGGAGAACCCTATCTAATACAGATGAGTTTTTGAGACAATTTAAAAACTGTTAATAACAGTAAGTTGTGATAAGTAATATACTAGGATTCCATTGAAATGTAAGCTCAATGAAGGCAGGGGTACCTACCTTTTGACCATTTCTCTGTACAGCACCTAAAATGTTGCCCAACATTGTGTATGTAGGCAGTCAATAAATACTTGTTGCACTAATGAATGAAAAGCATGTGCAAAAGAGTAATCATTCAGTAAATGAAAAACTATGCATACAACTTATAAAGGGAATAAGCAAACCTGTTCAATACTTAAAAATCTGGATTTGATGATCATTTGGTCATTGATAATGTTGGAGAAGTGGTACAGGCAGGAACCAGCTTAACATAGATTGAGTATTTATTGAGAAATGGAGGAATAAGTATAAATAACCTTTAAATAGTTTGATAATAAAAGTTCTCACCTGCTGTGCCTTATTCAAATTGCTCATCTACCAAATCGGTGTCATAATAAAATGGTTATTGTTTTATAACACTAGGCTTGTGGTGGTTTGTTCCCTTGCAATAGTAGGTGGAAAGCAGGAGGTGGTAGCTAATATGTCTAGTGGAGGAATAAGCACATTTATATCAGTTGTTGCATGTTATCCTCACCGCAGACCTATAATGAATGTGGTATTATTATTATTCCCATTTATCATATAAGGTAATTGAGGCATAGATATGATAATGATTCTCTTTCTGATGTCATAGATAAATAAACGTAGACTTAGTACTGAAACTCATGTCTTTTCACTTTATAATACCAGGAAGTTTCAGATCAGGAGAGAGAAAAAAATAGAGAAAAAGAGTGGTAGAGGGACAGGGAAGAATGAGGGTGGAGGTGGCGTTTGTGGGTTTCTGACAGAGGCTGGTTTGGTCAAGAGGGGGACCGCTTCTGAGCACGAGGGGTGGGGCTGCAGCGGTGGCGCAGATGGAGCTGCGGGACGGTGGCAGGGAGCTGTAATAATCTTGGTTCTCTCTGATCACAGAAAGGGGCCTCGCTGGGGCTGAGGGACTGAGGAAAGTGGCCGTTGTTTAGATTTAGAACACCACTATGAGGCATGGGAGAGTGAGATTACTGAACACTTTGTGAGGAGTCCATAAAGGACAGGAGATGAAGAATTTGTCATAGCAACAATCTGCATAGCACAGTGACTTTCCCCTGGGATGACATCAGTCCAGATACTGGTCTTGAAGAGACAACATTTGGGATGTGCAGGATCAGTATGCTGGAAGCATGTGCTGAAATAGGAGGAGAGGGTCATTTATTCAATCATACGATAAATATTATTTTTATGTACTATGTGCCAGGCTCCCAACAAATATTTGCTGAGGGGTAAAGTTGGGATGTGCAGGATCAGTATGCTGGAAGCATGTGCTGAAATAGGAGGAGAGGGTCATTTATTCAATCATACAATAAATATTATTTTTATGTACTATGTGCCAGGCTCCCAACAAATATTTGCTGAGGGGTAAAGGATGCTGGTGATGCAGGGTCTAGATCAGTTAGGATGAGTCCCTTCAGTCTAGGGAATGAAAATGGAGAGCAAGTGCATGAGAGTGAGGCGAGAGACCCTCACAAAGAGTAGACTGTGGGTAGCGAGCTGGGGATTAAAGTTTAAAATACCAAAGAAGGAACATATTTTGACGGTGACAAGGTCTTGAAAATGGAGTAGCTATTTGAATGAAGCAAAGCCTATAGTGGGGTTGAGGAAATGAGAGGAACTGTGAGGCTAGACATTACATTTGCCTGATCCTTCTGGTCCTTTGGTGTTCCCGACACAAAGATAAAATGACTTTTAGGGCAGGCCTTTAAGGATGAACTGGCTGCTTCCAGATGAAAAAGTGAGGAGAGAGAGTGTAGTCACAGGAAACAGCTTCACTAGGGGATCAGAGACACGAAAACCCTTTGAGCCAAGCAACAGGAAACGTCTATCACAAGGGAAGAGAGAGGTTAAGCTCTATCCTAGCTAGAAGACCTCTCTGAGTGGCAGCTTCTCAATATACCCAATAATATGAGATATTCGAATGAGATCGATTTCTGTTTGCAATCACAAAATATTTATTTCACTTAATTATGAATGCAAGCACATTCGCTTTGCAAATATACACCAAGGCTTTGAAAACATGTGAAAGTTTATAACACTTTTCATACAACGATGATTTACATTCTTATTTTCATGCACACATACAGGGGCAAAGAATTCTTGACTTGTAGCCAAATAATATTACCAGTGAAACATGAATGTACATGCTTAATTTAGGTCTTGGGAATCATCAGACAGCTGGACGAAGGTTATGCTTTTTCCCTCTGTACATTAAAGAACATGAACAAATGGCTTTAGGAGTTCATAATTCACAGTGTATTATACCAGTCAGTTGGAAAAATTAAAATGTTGGTAACAGCTCGGCTCTCATCACTCTGTAAGTGCAGAGCCCCTGAGGCAACAGTGCGTGCAGATGCTCTGCTGATCACCGCCTGCGTTCCCCACGCTCGGCAGGCGCGGAGCCCCCTGTGCTGCGCGGGGCTCATCGTGACCGGAAGACAGCGAGAGTTAGTACTGGATCACGAAAGGAGATTGCCTGAAGCGGCCGTTCTCAGGCTGCTGCTGCTCGGTGGAGCAATTTAGTAAAGTAGGTGGAAGCCACGCTTTTGGCGATCCTTGCTGGATCCTGGGCGGGCCAGCTTCTGGGTGTTTCTGATGTATGGCTACAGCACGGTCTTCCTGCTCACTATTTCTACGGCCTCTGCTTTAACTCGGCTCATTAGTCCACATCCAGGCTGCTTAATATTCTCCTAAGTGAGCTCTTCCTTGTCTCCAGACACTTTACTCACTTTTTAAAAGTATGTTTCTCAGACACAGTTATAGTGATCTTATTATTGTGTAAGCCAGCGATTACTAGCTGCTTTCTGATATCTATTCTCCACACTTCTTCCATGTATCTGACATTTCAGGTGGAGAATACATTTCCCTGCGTCCCCGGTTTCTGGGTGTGACCATGTGACCAGCTTTCGTGCTAGGGGATATGCAAAGAATTGACGGGTGCACGTTCTGGCTCGTGGATTTGAAAAGGAAATGGGTCCTCCTGTGTCCCTTTCTCTTTCTGGCCGACTGCAGGTGTGACGGTGGGGCCTGGGTTGATCGTTTGTAGCTACCTGTTCAGGGGGCAGAGCAACAAGATGGCAGGGGCTGGGTCTCCAACACCGTGATGCTGCCCTATCAGCACCGGATTGCTTACCCTCAGATGGTTTGTAAGAGAGGAACAAACTTTCTGTTGTTTCAGACTCTATTATTTTGGCCTTCTTCATGGCAGTAGAAACTATATTGTAAGGTACCTTGCTTAACAGTCTTCATCGGCTCCCACTGCAGGAGATAAGTCCATATCCCTAAGAGGGCATTTAAGAGTCTTCACAATCTAGGTTTAGCCCACCTTTCAGGCCCACTCCTGTCACTTGCCTACAGAAGCAGTCCTCTAACCACTGGAGTCCTCCCTTCTCACCACACACACCTTCCTTTGGTACTTTTATATGTGCTGCTCTCTTAAAATGCTTCTCCCCATGTTTTTAAGAAAAGTTTCCCCCTCATTCTGCAAGGTCTAGCCCTGATGTCACCTCCTTGTGCTGCTTTCCAGGACTTCATGCAACAATTTTCCCTGGCAGACTTAATTACTTCTTCCCCAGGGCTTCCAGAGTGGGGTGTGTGTGTGTGTGTGTGTGTGTGTGTGTGTGTGTGTGTGAATCACATTTCCTTATAATTGCTTACATTATAACCTGTCACTAGGGATTATTCCATGACATTTTATTGGCTGGAAGTAGACTACACTCCATCACTCCACCCTTAGTCTTGTCACAGGCAAAGTGAACAGTGGATAATCAGGATAGACATAAAATTGAGGATTCGTCTTTCTTGAAGAGTGAAACTCTGAATGAAATTGAGGTTCTGTTAGCAAAGAGGAGTGGAATAAAAGTGTTCAGAGATGCTTTTCAACTAAAATGGCTTTGATGAAGGGGCAGGAGAAGCGGGCAGAGAGGGTTAGGCAATCAAACAGCATGGGGTAGATGCCTTTGGTTACTTGATGCAAGCTGGAAAAACAGTCCCTGACAGGCTGCAGTCATTATTGTGTATCTCCAGAATTTTGAAAGATAAGGAGGAAATCTGCAGGCCAGCCCCATAAGGAATAGGAAGGAATTGGGAAAGGGTAGTTTCTGAGAATAGGCATGTTTTTTTTTTTTTTTTCACTGAATGTGGGATGTCCCCTGGTGTATCTGCAATTGACAGCTGCCCTTTGACACGCTGCTTCCTGATATCTGACTACCGGAGGCCTGCTTGGTGCCTAGTGCAAGAAGTCACAGCCAACATTTTAGGTTTAGTCTGCTTTATACATGCCCAGCACTTTGCTTTAAACAAACAAATTGTTTAGTATCCTCAGTAATCAACATTTGCAAATGAAAAATCAATATGTCTCAGCATTTTAAGTTTCAATTGAAAAACATTCCTGTTCTGAGGAAACATCCAAGCCCTATGAGAAGGGTCTAAGAAATAGAGTTGTGTGATTTCTAGTTATACAAAAGCAGGAGACAATGCACGACAAAAATGTGCTTATCTAAAGTTACAAACTGATTTTGAAATAATGAAAACCAATGATACAGTTTTTGTTCTTGCCTTTGTTTTTCTTTTTCAACTTCTGAATGAGCTTAGCACAGTAGAGAAGGCAGAATGTTTAATGAATGAATGGGAGCTTGTCACATAGACATAGGGGTTAAGAACACAAGTTCTGAGGTCAGATTGTATGGGTGCGTGGCCTCCTTTCCTTCCACGACGGCCGTGTACATAAGCTTGCTGTGCTTTTAGTCTCCTCATAAGGAACATGGAGGTAATAACACCGTCTACCTCATAGGCCTCCTATAAGAATTAAATGAGATAAATATATGAGGTCTTCCTTAAGTGCTGGCACACAGCATGTCTGACAAATATTAGAGCTATCCATTATTATTTTATGTAATATTCATTTGTCATCTAATATTCCTTTTCCTTGACCTCTTACACAGCCCAAGACAGTGGACTTTTCAAAAATCATATTGTATCACAGAGATTGGTGACCTTATAAAAACAGAGAATGTCAAGAATCCAATATCTTTTCCTGTGGCATGATAGGATATGAATTGGGAGAATGTAAACTCACATCTAAGTAACACCTTCAGATTGTGTTTAGAAAAAGAGTTTCTATTATGTTGGTTCTTGTGAAGGTGTGGACAGGACTGGCATATGGTGGAATTTTGTAGGTAGGTTTTTGTAGGTGGTAGTGGGTAAAATCCTTAATGTGGTAGGGAAAAGGAATTTTAAAATTAACCCAAACTGCATTTTTGGCACATATCTTTATGTTGGCCACCCCTGAGACAGTGGGAGGGTTTGAAATGGATTTATGCCCAAATAATTTATGGCATAATTTAAAAGATTTTAAGCAAAATATGCTGCCACAATGAACACACCCTCTGTGCTTTATGAATGGCCTGTTTATTGCTGTGGTTCTGCCCATCTAGAGCAGACTGCTCTAAAGCAGACAGATTCATGCGGAGTCATGGGGCTGTGCTTTAAACCTAGCCCTCACTTCCAAATCCACTTTCAACTACATTAATGCACAGATATTGCGGTGCAAAATACTGGGTTGTGCACCTTTTGAACAACTCTATGCGTGTCACTATTTAATGCAGAGCATGAAGCAATCTCTGATTACTGTGCTGCAGCGTGTTCTTCCAGCCTGTGTGGTTCTGGCTGCAGGAAATAGCAGCTCAATCTTTGAAGCAAGGACTTTCCCTCTGCTTCTGAGAGTAAATAGCCTGAGAAAGCTTCCTCACTCCAAGGAAGTCTAGATAAATGTGTGATAGGAAGGGAGAGAGGGCTGTCGGTTGTGTCTGTCAGAATGGCCCCTGAAGGAAGGCAGCGGCTCCTGCCGCGTGATAAGGCTGAGGTTACAAAGGCAGAGATAAAAAGCTCACTTGGTCAAAATACATTACTAATGGAAAGATCCCCAACAGATTTTAGCATTGTACCCCAAGCCTTTCTTGAACAAAATAAGTCTGTTCTGATTTTTCGAGGGGATATAAGAGGTATACTCCACTCAGTGGAATGAGGGCAGACAACTCTCTCTCCCCCTCGCCCCACAGAAACTGGTTTCACTAGTTATAGGAGGGTAACTCCTCCAGTGGGACATTTGAAGAGAAGAAATCATTGCAAAGGAGCAGAATAAACAGGATGGAGAATTATATTGCTTGAAGCAGGAAGTTTTATTGCTCCAGATACAGGCATTGTTGTTGGTGGTGGTGGTATTAAAAGTCAGTTAGGGGCCGAGCCCGTGGCGCACTCGGGAGAGTGTGGCGCTGGGAGCGCAGCAGCGCTCCCGCCGCGGGTTCGATCCTATATAGGGATGACTGGTGCACTCACAGTGCTCACTGGCTGAGTGCGGTGCACGCTCCCTCCGCGGGTTCGATCCTATATAGGGATGACTGGTGCACTCACAGTGCTCACTGGCTGAGTGCGGTGCACGCTCCCTCCGCGGGTTCGATCCTATATAGGGATGACTGGTGCACTCACAGTGCTCACTGGCTGAGTGCGGTGCACGCTCCCTCCGCGGGTTCGATCCTATATAGGGATGACTGGTGCACTCACAGTGCTCACTGGCTGAGTGCGGTGCACGCTCCCTCCGCGGGTTCGATCCTATATAGGGATGACCGGTGCGCTCACTGGCTGAGCGCCGAGCGGCCGGTCTCAAAAAGGACAAAAGAAAAAAAAAAAAAAAAAGTCAGTTAGGGAGGTGCAGGAACAAAACACTGAGACATATAGGGCCATGGAAAATCTTCCTAACTCGATACTGCAATTGGTGTCTCTCAAACATTTAAAACTCTTACCTTCTTTTGATGAACAGGTTCTTGTTACTTCTGGGTATTTCTCTTCCCTTCACAGTTACCCCCACCCCATCACAATGGTTCCTCCACAGTGAAGATTTTATGGGGTCTTATTGTCTATGGTTTGTATTCTCTGAAAAATTAGTTTGCCTTACCTACAAAATACAGAGTTATAACTGTGACCAGGCTCTTTTTGTACTGTAGAACACTCGTTATATCATCACTGATGGGATTGCCACTCTAAAGCCCCTCTCCACTTCCATGTATTTTCCCAACCTCGTTTTTTTAAGATTTACATGGTTTTTGATGCTAGCCTTGCCTAAAAGATGTCTGACAAAATACGTGCTGTAATAAGGAAGTCTTAAAGGGAGATAATTATCACTTCTATATTTCAAAGAACAAACAAAACTTCTCTCTTGCTAGCTTCTCTGAGATGCCATTTTAACCTTTATATTTTTTCCATTCCTCCAAGCAACTGCCCATAGTGTAAGAAAAATTCCTGAACAAAAGCCTGAATTACCCACTGCCAATCCAGATCTGTCTTAATGAGCAGGGCCACCAGGGGGAGCTCGTTAAGTGAGCTTTTGTGGGGTCTCCGAGAAAGACCAAGCAGATATGTATGGAGAGGGTAGCAGATCCGCAGGATTAATAATATTCCCTGAATGTAGGACCCACAAAGGCCATCTTCCTCTCTTGGCAGCTTGCTGGGTGGAAAAAGAACTGCCCAGTAGAAATAAGGAAATTGTCAAGGCTTAAAGAGAGGTGGACATGGAGGAATGCTTGACTTGGATAAGAAGGTAATTTTTGAGTACCTCATGTTGGGAATTTTGTTGAGCTTCAGGCATAGGTCTTAGCAATAGAGAGCTGGACAGTGGATGAGAGGGGCCCAAGCACGAGACTTCACGGGCGAGATCAGCACCAGCTTGTGATCTACTGATGGACTAGATAACAGAAGTGAGCAAGGAACAGAGGATGTTTTTATTGGCACCAGCACAGGTTTAGTTGGAGCAGAGTCTAGGATCAGCTACAATGATACTAATGTAAAAGACCAGATTGTTAGTTTTCAGAATGATGGAGGAAATGGTGAATGCCACAAGATGGAAAGGAAAAAAGCATCTACGAACGTTTCCATACACCTTGTTGTATGGAAAGGAGGGTTCTGACTCTTCTAGACCCCAGAGGGTCTAGCGATTCTGCTTACGATGGACAATTTACTATTTGCAAGCTAGTATTTATTACTATCAGATTTACTGTTCTGATACCACATTAAAATTAGATCACCTAGGACGACTTGGGAAAGAGTGTCTTAAATATGTTTTTGCACACACCCATCAGACAGTATTGACAATTTCTGTCCCAAAGACAAGATATTTAGACTTTCAGATATAATAACTTTCCATTTCCAGTAGGTCAAAGTCGTGATTATTATTTTTTTCATAAAAGCCATCTTTTCTCTGGTTTCAACAAGAATGAGAAAGAGCAAGAGCAAATTACAAGGTCTAGCCTTTTTCTCTGTCAGGTTTTGGAGAGAGAATCCCGTCGTAAATGTCACATTTACCTGTAGCTCTACGAGTAACAGGGGTCTTCGGTCCCTCACAAAGACACTTTCAGAGAACCGTTCTCTTGGCCTGAGTAATCGTCCCGCGCACGGTGGCGTGACTGGCGGCCACAGCGGTGATGGCTGCACCTGAAGGTTACGGTGGCCACGGCCCCGGCCGGGACCACCGCGGACTCGAGAGGGTCCCGCCGCGGTGACCGCGCCCCCAGCTCTGCCGATGGCTCCTTGAGAGCTGCGGTTCTGCCGCGGGGACAAGCCGGATTGAAGGAGCTCTGTGTGCAAGTAGATTTCCAGACTCGGGGACTGAAGTAAAAGCTGTGTGCAACTTTAAAAAAAAAAAATGTTTTTATGTGTGGACTGTAGGACAGTTCAGGCTCCTTTCAAAACATGCTTTCGAGGCTAAAAAGGTAGTGAATTCAGAGACTTACATTGCTTTAGATGAGTTAAACCTTTACAGGTGTATTTAATGTTTTTAGCCTAATTTCTGAAGTTACAAGTGAAAAATGTTCAGAATCAAAAATGAGTAGAAGAGAGAGGAGAGGGTGAGAAAGGAGAGAGAGATAAAGAGCAGTAAAACAACCAACAGGCAAAGAGAAAGCACAGAGGGAACTTGGACGGGAATACTATCAAAGGCCAAAACGTTTTTGCCTCTTTTAGTTTATCTGTATTGATTTATTAAGTCCCACTACATTAAATTGTAACTAAAAATTACAATCAGTTATTTCACTATGAATGACTTTCCACATCTTTTTCCCACAGAATATAATTACTAAGAATTCTCATATATATTTTGAACTACTTAATCTTACATATAGTTACTAAATAGAGAATTACTGCCAATTTCATTTAAGACCTTCGAATAAAGAAACAAACGCATTTATTGTATGACAATTCATTTTGTTTTAATTTAATGAATGACTGCAAGGGATTTAATCTATCTGCAAGTGATCCAGCCCTTTCATTTTGCTGATAGGAAACAATTTCAGGGAGGATTAACATACTTTTGTTTATGAATGTGGCTTAATGATACATGAATTATAAATTAATTTGTCCCTTTCCCATAGGCTTCATACCTTTAATTGTGGCCTTCCTCCAATTCTTTAATTTCCAGTTAAGATGGAAAAGCTGTAGTCTAGGTGCCACACAGAAATATTTTAGAGGGAGCCCCTGCTGAATGAGTTACATCTCCTATACCTGACACTAACCTCTGGGCTTGGGAAGGAAGGAAGGAGCGGTGGAGGGGCACTCAGCTCTTCTGAGTTGGTGGGGGGTCCGCTCCAGCCCCTGTCTTCCCCTTGGTGGTGTGAAAGATTGTAATCGAGACTAGAAAGGACCTGTGGCCCCCGGTGTCAGTCCAAAACTGTGGGACTCGGCAGCCTCACAGATGTGCTTACGGCATAGTGTCTTAGGTGTCCTAGAGCAGAGGTGGCTGAGAGTGTCTGAGGATAGCTCCATGTCTTCCTCTCTGTGGAGAATCTCGAAAGAAGTTGTATTTGTTCGTTCGTTCATTCATTCATTAACATCTACAGAGAATAGCTGTCCGTGTTGCACCAAGATTCAGCAGTGCACAAAAGCCCTTATGGACTGTATTCTAGTGAATTTGCCTTGGCACCCAAAGAAAGGCCCAGTGCCAGCTAAAGCAGAGGTTATGGTAAAAAACAGTAGCTTCTGATGGCACGATGGAGCAGCAACTGGTCAGATGGAGAGAAGGCCACCACCATGATGGCAGCAGAGATTCTACTGGTAGGATAGGATGATTCTATACCTCCCACCAGATGCCAGATAAAATGAAGTGAGTGTCTCTGTCCCACTTCTTTGTGTCTTGAAGCTTAGACATAACCCCAGGATGAATGTCTGGCAGGGGAAAATTAGTGAAGTTGAGGAGAAATTAGTGAATTTATGACAACTCAGAAATCACTGAAGCAACTGAGTTTTTTGTTTTGTTTTTTTTGGAAAATAATTACTTTTGAGTGTGTGTGGGGAGGTATTAATGAAACATAAAGAAAGTAACATTTTTGTATACCTAAGTCTGTGGAAAAATGCCTACTAGAGTGACAACAAAAATAGTATTAAAAAATCTTGAAATTTACTGAGCACCTATTATGAGTGTCAAGGAAAGGTCTAGGTTACACATACACACACACACATATAATATAATGTAATATAGTATAATATATATTTTCAGAGGAAAAACTCCTAGCAAGCTGCATGGAGATTATTTGTACCCATGAGGACTGTCTGAGTCCCAAATTTGACCTTTCTCTTTTAGAGGGGAAACAAAACGAAATCTAGTTGCATTAGCTGATGATAATAATGATACTAATTCTTTGCACACACAGGTGCCTTGGGTGTGTCAATCTAAAGAAAGTATATCCACAAAATGGAAGAATGTGTCTCTTGTCAACAGATGCTGCAGATTCTTGTAGTATATCTGGTGCACTCCTAGGGATAGATTGGGAGAATTAGGTTTGCAAATAGAATTTACAATTTAAAGCATCAAACTTAGAATATGCCACTAATACTAAAGTTCATGTATTTCTAGCCTTTGAATAATGTCAGAATGATTGAGCCTGTGAATAGCCAACTAATTCTTTAGAAATGAAATAAGTAGAAGAGGTAAGAATACAACTCTCAAATGAATTACTATTTTTATTAAAAATTAACTCGATACTGAAACCACTTCATTGCAATGAATCTCTTCTAATAAATGTCCTTCATTTAAGTAAATGCTAGCTGAGCCACAGTTATAGTCTCAGGGCTTGATCTTATGATAGAGGCCAATCACATTTTTGTGTAGGCAGCGTTACATAAATTCTGAAACATCAAAGGATATGCCAACAGAAAGACATATGACTTTTAAAGGGAAACCATTGCTTTTATTTTCATGTGATTGTGAAGGTAAATATACTCAAACCGGAAGCTCACTTAAGAGACATGTGATTTTAATATTTTAATGTTTTTAATATTTATCGTTTCAAAATATAAGTAAGTGACTCTCATCTCCCATTAATTTGTGAGAGTGTCCCAAAGAAAGTTGCAGGAATCCCCTCTCAATTCAAGTTTTCAAAAACACAATACTTGTCTTTCAATCCATTTTCTTTTTGGTAATATGTAATGTATATCATAATCTATATTGCATGTATATGCAGATTCAGTTTTACTTGCATTCCTGAATCAATTCTTGGTTAAAATATCCCAATTAACATGCTTTGGGAAAAAAAAGTAGCTGAAATATTTTGCAAATAGCATTAAAAAATAAATCTTGGCAGATTCAATACTTCAACAGTTACAAATATTTTCTTGAAGAAGGGTCAGAAACAAAGGTCTTAGGCACTTATATAAAAATGTCAATGCAGTAAAAGAGCTTTTCAATTTGGTGGGGGGCAATAGGCATCAGCTCCTACTCTGCTCAAAATTTTCCCATGACTATGAGCAACTTTCTGAGTTTGAGCAGAATGTTTACTTGGTTATCTGGATCCCTGAATCCAAGTACAGCCACTCAATAGAAATGTATTGAATGAATAAAGATGATTCAGAATTTTTGTTTTCTTTTCCTATCCACTGTATGAATCATCTGATACATTCTTATAATATCTGGATTAACCATTTTTAAAGGCAAGAATAAAGGGGAGAAAGAGAGGACTTCCACACTTATTTTAGGTGGACATGTGATCCATAGCACAACCAGTGGAGGGAAGATGGTAGCAAAAGCTGGGGTTTTCACCTTCATGCTTAGGGTTTTACTAGGGTAGGAAATTTTCAGAATATGTTAAATGCATTGCAAAATTGTAAACTATCCATAGTCTCCCATACTGGAAGATTGCTTTTAAAAAAACAGTAAACAGGCATTGGAAGTCTTTGTCCCCCGCATATAAGATGTTAATTTGAAAAAGGGGCCTCTTCTGGGAATGTGAAATACACCAAAGCACTACCTGTGGACAGACCTTCCTCAGGACTTTAGCTTGTCAAATTGAAAAGAGGCTGGATTTCGACTTGCAGTCCTGCCCCTTGGCCTGGCTACTTTGTGCACGGCACAACCTGCTCAACGTTACACAGCTGCCCTGGACATAAATTTTACCCTTGACATACATGTGAGTCCTTTTTTTTTTTTTTTTTTTCCAATTGGTAGACACTCAATAAATACCTTAGATAAGAGAGTGTCTGCAGCACAGATTTCAAATCATTATTTACTGTGAAAATGGTTTTAAAAAGAAATAGGAATACACATGTGACAATATGCTTAAGAAGGAAAAGGATATCAGTCCAAGCCAGGAACCGGAATAACAATGTACAGAAATACATTAGAGATAATCAGGTATTTGCAGTAGACAACAGATTGAACATTCATCAAGCTTGTAGGTACTGCTGATAAATAAGTCTACTAACAGATAAACAAGTTAAGGACCATAAATTATCTTTTCACCACATTCAAGATGCCTTATGGAGTTTGATGCCTTACATTTTCAAGAGATTATTTAACATTGAGTAGGTTTTTAAAAAATTAAAAACCAAGGATATTTTCTTTTTCCTGGAAAAGACAAGAACAAAGGGATTGTAAAAGACCATAATTACCTTTAGTGAAACATAAGGATTCAGTTTCACTAAGGATATGATTTAAATATTACGTAAGATTCATTGGCCATTAGAATTGGTCAAGACTTACTGAGGTTATAGTAGCCTTCCTTGTACATGCTTGAATATTGGATGCATAATAACCTAGGGAATTAAATATTTGAACAAATGCATACTAGAGTTGGTGAAAATATTACGTAAGATTCATTGGCCATTAGAATTGGTCAAGACTTACTGAGGTTATAGTAGCCTTCCTTGTACATGCTTGGATATTGGATGCATAATAACCTAGGGAATTAAATATTTGAACAAATGCATACTAGAGTTGGTGGCTCCTTAATTCCCATCATCTAAGATTCTCTCAGCTTATTCTGGTTCACTGATGAAGAATTGACACAGAATTGACTATTTAAAATCAAATTATAGAAATTTAATTTACTGGTTATAACGAGGTTGTGCAGGGTTATTTGTAACTGATTAAGCTCCTAATTCTACT